AAAGGCACGGGATTACAGGCTGAACCACCGAGCCCGGCGCCTTTTTCTTTTTAAATATTTTTTATTCTCGCCTTGTAGAGCTCCGATGACACATTATTAGATTATTTAGTATTGTTCCCTCAGTTCATGAATGCTCCTTTTTTTGTCTATTTTTAACTGTTTGTGCTTTCATTTCATAATCTTCTAATTAACACTAATTCTTGCTTAGCCTGGTATACTGATAAACTCTTTACAGGAAATCTTTATATGCGATGATAGCATGTTTTTCTTTTCTAACATTTTATGTATCTTCTACAGACAGGTTCTTGCTGTGTTGCCTAGGCTAGAGTGCAGTGACTATTCACAGGCAGGATTGTATTGTGTACAGCCTCGAATTTCTGGGTTCATGCAGTTCTACTGAAGCCTCCTGCGTAGCTAGAAGTACAGACGCGTGCCACTGTGTCCCACTCCAGCCTTCATATTTTTGTGCTTTTTATCTCTGTTGAAATTTTCCATCTATTGATGCATATTATCCATCTTTTCAGCTACCCTTTAATGTTATTAATTATAGTTATTTTATAGTGTCTATCTGATATTTCCATCCTTTGGAGTCATAGTGGGGTACGGGTGTGTTGACTACTTTAATTTTTTTTATTTTTATTTTGTATTTTAAAGATGTGGGGCACAATTCAGGGTTTGGTATATAAATGTTCATTATGCAGGTACCCTTGTTGATGAGGTGTGCCCCTCTCTCCCCTGGCAGTTTCCCTCAACTGCCAATTCCACACTCCCTACTTTAATTCTTGACAGTGAGACATTTATCTTTTTGCTTTTTTTTTTATGTCTTGTATTTTTTGTTTTTGTTTTTCTTGTTTGAGTCAGAGTCTCACTCTGTTGCCCAGGCTGGAGTGCAGTGGCACACTGCTTACGGTCACCACAGCCTTGACCTGCTGGGCTCAGGCAATTCTTCCACCTCAGCCTTCCAAGTAGCTGGGACTACAGGCATGCACCACCACTCCCAGCTAATTTTTTTGATGTATCTTAGAGATGTGATCTTGCCAAGTTGCCCAGGCTGGTTTAGAGCCCACGGGCTCAGGCAGTCTTTTCACCTCAACCTCCTAAAGTACTGGGATTATAGACATGAACCACCGTGCCTGGCCTGTTTTGTATTTTTTATTAGATGCAGACTCTTGTTTAAACAACAGTGAGGCCAAGTTAAATAGTATATGCTCTGAGATGGGTATGTCTCATCTCTCTCTCTTTTTTTCGTGAGTCAAAATCTTACTCTGTTGCCCAGGCTGGAGTGCAGTAGCATGCTCACCGCCACTGCAGCCTCAACCTACCTGCTGGGCTCAGGTGATTCTTCTGCCTCAGCCTTCCAAGAAGCTGGAACTACAGGTGTGCACCACCATGCCTGGCTTCATCTATTGACTGACTGATTGATTGATTGAGTCAGAGTCTCACTCTGTCACCCAGGTTGGAGTGCAGTGGTATGCTCACAACCATTGCAGTCTCAACCTGCTGGGATCAGGTGATCTTTCTGCTTCAGTCTTCCAAGTAGCTGGAACTACAGACATGTACCACCACACCCGGCTGGTTGTTTTGATTTATTGCAGAGACCAGGTCTCATCATGTTGCCCAGGCTAGTCTCAAACCCGGTGGCTCGGGCAATCCTCCCACCTCCCAAAGTGCTGGAATTACAGACATGAACCACCACACCTCTCCTTTCATCTCTTTTTAAACCGTTACCGTGGGAGATTGAGTTCATCTAGTCAGTACTTTGTGCCAGGGTTTGGATTTCATTGTTGTAGTTCTCTGCAGTGCACCAGCATACAGGAAGGCCTGACATTTCACGTGCTGCCTTAATGTCTTTGAGCCTCCCAGAGGTTCCAGAGTTTAACTGTGTGTTTCCTTGCTCTTGGCAGATATGCCCCCACCCAGCAGGAAAACTTCCCTACCTGGCTAGTTCCTCCAAACTCCACCCAGTCGTCCTCAACCCTGGCGGATTTTACTTCCCTGCCAGTCTGTTCAGTTACTCAAGCACACTGAGCACATCCTCTGGAGGGCCAGGGGACACCCTGCCCCTTGCTAGTAATGGGCATCACACCCACAGCCCCTACTGGCTCACTGTGTTGCCAAATGTAACCCCTGTGGCTCTGCATGCTGTGCAGTGTCCTCTTCCCTTGGGCTGTGAGTTTATGTGACTAATAAGCTACTGTCAGTCTCATCTGTTCTGTCTCAGGAGCCACGTGTCCCGTGCTGTGCGTTCAGCCATCTTCTACTATTTTGGGCAGCAGATCCCGCCCTCACCAGTGGGCTGAATGGGATCTGAATAATCACAGATGCTCACATATGCTCAGTACGGTGCCTGGAATGCTGCAGGGTTTCCCCCTCAGTGTCCTGTCTCACCCTCCGCGAGTCCTGAGCCATCTTCGACCTCCTAGCTCTACTCGAGCACAGTGGATGCCTTGGGTACCATGCTTTGATCCCTGCTTAATTCGGTTCTGAGGTCTTATACTCACACATCTGATTGGGAGAAATAGATCACAAGGGACTCCTCGAAATACAATGTCAGTCTTTCTAGCCTTTGCCACAGAGGGAAGTAAACTACGTAGAGGGAAGTTGAAAAGGACACTGGGCAAGCCTTAATTGGAGCCAGCGGAATCCATGTGTCTGAACTGATTTAGCTATTGAGATGTATTATGGGATTTTAGAAGCCTCGCAGAACCTCCCGAAGAGCCAAGGGGCCAGGGCTAGCTCAGCCACGAGTGCTGCCTCTCCCTGCAGTGACACCATGAGCAGCACTCCCTCGAGCTTCTGCTTCCTCTGCTATCAGTCTTGCCTGGATTTTGCTCTGCCTTGGCTCTTGACAATCCGTGCCACATGTCTGGGGTCCCTTTGAGAACACCGTGCTGCTTTCTACCGATTTTGCATTGGCTAGAATGGTTGTGATGACAGCTGACAGAGAGCATCTCTCTTTCCACTCAAAGTGGCAAAGCGGATGTTCACCTGCATTCCGGCCCCCAGAGGCTTCCCTGCTTCACTGTGCCTCAGTGCTGCTCCTGCTGGCCTGCGATGCTGAAGCAGTATAATGCTGGTTAGTGCCAGGATGGTGTGCAGAGTCACCTGCCACCCTAAGGTTTTTTCCTCATTAGTGGATGTGTTGCAGGGATCTCCCATACTGCCGTAAATGGGGGTTGAAGGAGAAATCCTGGGACGTGTAACTTGTACCTTCACACCCCACCACTTCACCCTGACACGAGAGTGGCATACTTGTCACAGCTGGCTAGGACTTCATGGGTTAGGTGAAATGTGTTTCACAAGGAAGCTCACGTTATATGGTCTCTTGGCTTCCCTTTCTCCGGCTTCTGGGTAAATGACACCAGGCTCTGTCTCTCAAAAGAAAACTGGATAGTAAGAACTCTCAGCTTGCCTAAAAGCCCTAGGGGACTCTGCCATGTCTGTCCTATGAGGCCTTCCTGAAGGCTCCTGAGAGCTTTCAACTCCATTAAATGGACATGTTGGATTTGAGAAAAAATGTTTGCTTTAGCTGCCATCCAGATGCCAGTGGCTGTGCCAGTCTGGTCCTATAAGGAGACCGCATTCATATCTACTGTCGAATTCGCCACTCAGTTAAGCTTAAAATAATTTTCTTTTCTCTAAAGTCCACCAAACAGGTGAGTTCACTGGGGACATGATAGGAATGGCATGAATGTGGTCATGTGGATCGCCAGCAGGGAGCTGCAGTGGAGTCTGGAAAGCACTGTTTCAACTCTAACTTTCTAGGACATCAGGGCAAGCCAGTTGCGAGTCACAGAGAGGGCTGCCAGCTGTCTGTGAAATCTGGGCAAAAGCTAAATATTGTGCTACTGTCATTCCTGTCATCATGGAGAGTTTGATCTGCCCCTGTGCATCTTGGATACTGACTTCGCCAGGACATGTGGGAAGGATTCCTTGTTGTGGGTTGCATGAGTATGAGGCCATTTGGCCATTTCTAAATATTTATGGAAAACAGCAAAGGCAAACTTCTTCTTTTTCTAATAGGAAGTATACTCAGCTATATTCTTTTTCAGAGATTTAGGTTTTTCTTTTCTTTACAGCAAAGTAGGCCTATTAAAATAGAGCAATTTTGAAAAGGATGAGACGTATCATGCCAGTGACTAAATGAGACACAGTTGTATCTGGCATCTTTGGAAGTTAAAGTAACTCAGGCTAAAGCTATTTAAATGTAATCACTAAAACTGCGTGGCCGGGCACGGTGGCTCACACCTATAATCCCAGCACTTTGGGAGGCTGAGGTGAGAGTTTTGCCTGAGCCCATGGGTTTGAGACCTCATCTCTACAATTAAAAAACAACAACAACAAAAAAAAAAACCTGTGCTGTAGCCCCACCTGTAGCTTGAGAACATTCCTGAGTAAGTCATGAAATGTTATCAGTCATGATGCTTATAATTCTTTGTGTGTGTGTGTGTGTGTGTGTGTGTGTTGAAGTCTCACTCTGTCACCCAGTTTGGAGTACAGTGGCACACCCCCAGCCACCGCAACCTTGACCTGCTGGACTCTGGCGATCCTTCCGCCTCAGCCTTCCAAGTAGCTGGAACTACAGGCGTGTGCTACCACGCCCAGCTAATTTTTTGATTTATTGTAGAGATGAGGTCTCGCCAAGTTGCCCAGGCTGGTCTCGAACCCGCGGGCTCAGGCAATCCACTCACCTCGGCCTCCCAAAGCGCAGAATTACAGGCTGAGCCACCGAGCCCAGCCGCTTATAATTCTTAATAAAATGAGAGGTGAGAAATGAAATGTGTTCTAGAGAGTCTGTTACTGAATAAATAGAGCTTATTTGGGGTATCTTTTGCTAAGAGTTCATTTTTTTCTTAAATGTTTCTTCTAAAATGAATCTTCCATGTGGATGTTTGCTTCATTATTTTAAATAAGTGGTTTTAAAAGAAAGCCCTTCTACAGTAGTTTGTTTTTATTATCATACTACATGTTAACATATATGTCATGTTAACTTTTTTTAGCTTCCTTGGAAATCACTGACTAGCATCATTGAATATTACTACATGTGGAAAACTACTGATAGATACGTGCAGCAGGTATGTTTTTCACTTTGCTACCAATAGAATTGTACTGAAGTGAACTTTCTGTTTATATTTTAATATTTCTTAGCAGTGTACTTGGAAAAATTTGTCTGTCTTACTTCTTCTAGACTTTTAAATCGTGTGATTTTATCTCTTTAGGATATTATTTATGATTTTTGTTTTTGAGTTGGAGTCTCACTCTGTCGCCCAGGCTAGAGTGCAGTGGCACACTCACAGCCACCCTAGTGTTGACCTGGCGATCCTTCCGTCTCAGCCTTCCAAGTAGCTGGAGCTATAGGCTCATGTTACCATACTCGGCTAAGTTTTGATTTATTGCAGAGATGAAGTCTCACCATGTTGCCCAGGCTGGTCTTGAACCCCTGGGCTCAGGAAATCCTCTCACCTCGGCCTCCCAAAGTGCTGGGATTACAGGCTTGAGCCACCACGCCCAGCCTATTTATGATTTTAATCTTAATATTTCCTTGACTTCAGCCTTCTATAGAAGTATTTTGGGAAGAACACAGGGAATGTTTCCATGAGAGGCATTATCCTGCTTGTGTATAACCAGCGACCTCCTCTCTTTGTGAGTGTAGTTGATGAGAATTACCAAAGATATGATGAACAAGAAATTTTTATGAAGAATCGAGAATTTAGACCAAGATGCCATCAGCTATATAATTTGAGATCTTTTTAGAGATCTTCTGAAACCTCTTTATGACATTTGTATGAATATATTCCCTATGTTTTTGCTCTTAACTAATAGTGTCTGTCTTACTGGTTTGGCATTTTGTTTATACATAAGCTTTTTTCAAATTATTTTTAAAAATAAGGAATCATTTAAATTTTTCGGTCTTTCTCAGATGTCCTGAATTCAAATAATTATCTTAATTACTTATTTTTTGAATACTGGTACATTTTCCTGAAATGACTTCAGTCAGTACTTGTTTTACATTCTTATGGTCGCATGTCTGAGTGACATTATTTTTCCTAAATAAGCAGGTTACACAGTGGCAGTTCTTAGATGATGTGAAATACATTTTAAGGATCACTTTATTTTATTATTATTTTTTTTTGAGTTGGAGTCTCTGTTGCCCAGACTGGAGTGCAGTGGCCGCTTCCGGCCACTGTAGCCTCGACCCGCTGGGCTCCG